GTTATGGAACACATTAATTAACTGAAAAATGTTGCATAGTATGCCTTTAAAACCGCAACCCTAACAACCAAAGCTGCCCAGGTAACCTTGCCCTAATGTTGGATGTATTATTATCTCAGTATGAGCTTTTTACACAACTGGGACTGTACAGGAAGTTGTTTGGTTAATTCAGGACAATGTTCTCTAAAAATATGAACGGATTCAGTGAACACCGTTCATTGAAGGCAATCATGCACAACAATGGGGATATTAGGTCCTTTGAAGATCTCTGAACATACGGTGGTTTTAAAGGCTGTCAATATAATTTTTTTAAGCTGAACAAATTCATTTAAAGAAAAAAAGTTGCATTTTAAAGCATATTTTTATATTCCTCACATTTCATTTTTCAACACTGAGAGAGTGTTAAAAACTCTTCACAGAGACTCTCTTCTGGATGAAAACAATAACACAAACACTGACCGCTGTAGGCATTTATCAAGTTAATTGTTCTTTATGAGTTCTGTAATTCTGGATATGATGATATTAGGTTCTGGAAAAAATGCTGTTAGTTGGAGACACATTCTTTTCTTTTCAATGCTTTTGGTTGATCCGTTTGACGGCTTTTGTTGATCCATCGACTTCTGGTAATGGCGGACGATGATGCTGCTGTGCAGCAAATCTGCCTTGTAAAGTTTTACTTCCCCAGAGGCAATAAAGGGTTGCAGCAATAGCATTTACATTCCTGAATTCAGTGGATTTTCTATTTATGTGCTCCATCCTCTGGACACTGACCCCATAAAACATTAAGTATTGGTTAATTTTTTATCTTTTCTTACTTGATCCTCCCTCTTGACATTCTTTCACTGCAGCGGTGTGGCATAAAGAGCAGAGAGAAAGTCAGTTTTCCCACTGTCACCACCATCACTGGCTCCAGGACAGAGGGACACTCTGGAAGATTCATCTTGAGTTGAATCTTCTCCTTCCATCCAGCAATCACAATGACGCTATCAGCCGTGACAGTGGAAGCCTGTCCTTCTTCCGCCACAATCTGCTCAGGTGAAGACTGCCTGGTTCCTCCTAGTAACTATAATGCAATCCTCAGCCTTGTGATGAGCGTCGTGCTCACGGTGATGCTGGCCTTTGTCATGTTTGCCATGGGCTGCACCGTGGATGCCAAAAATCTATGGGGGCACATCAAGAAACCCTGGGGCATCGTCATCGGCTTCCTCTGCCAGTTCGGCATCATGCCTTTCACTGCCTTTGCGCTTTCTCTTGCTTTTGGGGTGCTCCCTGTGCAGGCCGTCGTCATTGTCATTATGGGCTGCTGTCCTGGAGGAACCAGCTCAAACATTGTCTGCTACTGGATGGATGGAGACATGGATCTGAGGTAAGATGCTTAGGCTGGATCGAAGATTTATTAATATTCTAGTTTTTTTTTTGTTCATTTTAATAAGTGAAGTGTTTTTGTTTTCTTTTTTTATTAAAATGTTCAGTTACAAGAACTAAAAGGTACGGATGAGGTCCTTAAATCTGGGTGTAATGATAGACCGAGATCTGAAGCTTCTGAGGCATATAAAGACAGTAACAAAGTTGGTCTTCTGTCATCATAGGAACATTTCCAGCATTAAAAGTCTCAGCAGGAAAAATTAATTCAGATATTTATCCTCTTAAACAGAGTTGATTACTGCAGAGTTTTCGAAAGTTGGTCAGAGAGCTGTGGTTTATCCAGATGGTTGCTCCTGCTGCCCATTTCCTCACTGAAACAAAAACATTTCAAAATAAAAATGATAAGGACACAAGCACTAAAGGGAATTTGGAAATAATAACTTGGTAAAAACTGGAGATTAATTGTTAAGCTGATGGAGGAGAGAGAAGACAGTTCTGTGAATGTGGGCGGATCTGCAGTGAATAGTTAATATGGTTAGAGATAATGCTTTAAAGATGTATACTGCAAACATATAGAAAATTATTCAATTTCTAAAAGCCTGTGATTTCTGAGAAGGGTAGAAAAATAAATGAATAAATCAGAAAAAAAGGTTTTAAAAACTACTTAACTTAGAACTTTTCTGATGTTTTTTTCAAAACATCAGAAAATCTTTTTTTAATTTTTTTTTTTGTTTTGTCTGTTTTATGAAGCAAAACTATAATAGATACAGCTTGAAAAAATGAATATGGCATTAAATAAGGTTCACATTATGATTTGTGAGTACACGCTGGACATTACATGACATAGCTACTGATGAATGCACCAAATCATTTTTTAAAGCAAGAAAACTCCAATTGATATTTTCTATAATTCACAAAACAATTCTCATTCTGCTAATTGGCTCAAAAGTTGTATTAAATCACATTCAAACCACTCAGGTCTATGAAGCCGGCAAAACATTTGGTCTATTAACACCTGGAGCTTTAGTATTAAACGACTAATGTCTCAACAGGAGAAACAAATCCATGCATTTCAATTTAGAAGACTGATTACTGGAAAGGTGTCTTAATATGTCATCCTAAAGTTGATCCAACTGCTGCAGTTGAACTAGAATGCTGCTGCTTAGATCCTCCCTGAAACTGAGCAGGTGGAGCGCATCTCTTCAGCAGGGGCGGAGCTAGATGGGGGCCATGGCCACCCTTAGCCAGTGATTGGCCACCCCTACCATTTTTTTCCCTCTAATACAGATGGTGGCGGCAGTAATGCTCTGAAGTGGAATATTTCAAACATTTAGATTTTTCATATATTAACAATTACTTGACAACAAAAAACACTATGGCTAATTATTCACATCAATTCATGCTCTATTCAGAACAATATTTTGTGTTATACTGTGGGGTAAAGAGAAAATGATGTCATCTAGGATTCCTCAGTACAAACCCAGATAAATAACTATTTTAATGAAAACTTAAAAATCAATTTATGTAGATATTAGTACTTCAAAATATCAATTTTATGCTGAATAATTATTGATAAAAGTAGATAATTAATGACAAAGGAAAAGGTCTTCGCCCCAGAACTTACGACAAAGAATGGTGTTCACTATATCTTTTATCTAGAAAGCAATCGGTTATTGCCTGGCCACCCTTATAAAAAGTTTCAGGTCTGCATTCTTTCCACTGGCTCCCTTTATCTCAGGGAATACATTTTAAAAAGCTTATCTTAGTCTAAAAATAACAGAATTGCTCAGCATTAAAATACATTACAGACATGCTGTCAGTCGATCAACCTTGCAAACCTTTAATGAAGGTTCTGTGCTGCAGGTCTATAAGTTTGTTAACCATGAAATCATGGACACTTAGTGGATAAATCTGTTAGACACATAAGGTGGGCATGACCTTTGATGAGGATCCAATTGATGAAGGAGCTGCACTAATTCACAAAAAAAAAAAATATTTGTCAGAAGAGGATTCTCAGGCCAAACATAAATATAATTTCATATTCAGAAAGTTATCTTCATGATTGAACCTCACAATCCATCACATACATCCACCACCTTATCTGTTCTCAAATCTGCAGCATTATTTAACCCTTTATAGGGCAAATTACAGTTTTTGATCAGTTGCATAATCCTTACAAATAGTCTCCCCCTGTTATTTTAGCATTTGACCAATCAGATGTGCCCTTTAATTATATATTACCTACTGTAAATTATGTTGGAAAAAAAGTCAAGAAAAAAGGTAAAAAGCTAATTGAAAAGTTAAAAAGTAAAGTTAAAACATTCATAAGCCTAGTTAACAATTATATTTAGGTTTAATAATAAAAAAAATGTAAGTGCCAGTATCAGTACTGATGCCTCTAAGGTTATGTTGGACCATAAGAAATGTGTTTTTAATTAATTTCTTATAGAAGCACTTTTGTTATTTTTCTTAATATATTCGGGCAAGTTGCCGTTTCTTGTTATTACATTGACATAAATTTTTTTCATCAAAATATCCACATTTTTTTCAATGTTTCAAAGGTGATGGGGTCTTGTCCTAGCCTCGTGAGACCATCCTGATCTGGCGAGCTTTCAAGGTTTCACTCGCAGATCAGTCTGGAGACTCTCCGTTAAAGAAAATTTGTAACCGTTCACCAAACGAACGTCCAATCAGCGTTGGCTTTGAGGCGGGTTGAGGTGTGACGCAACGAGAAGCGCGACAGTTCAGTCTAAAGAACATGGCGGCTTCAGCCGATGAAACTAGCGTTAGCGTGGCTATTGAGCAAGTTTTATCGGAATTACAGAGTATTTCTTCAATGAAAGAAGAGCAAAACACTGCTCTGGAGGCTTTTCTCAGAGCAAAAGATGTTTTTGCTCTTCTCCCGACTGGTTTCGGCAAGAGTTTGATCTATCAATTGGCTCCTCTTCGTCGTCGCTCTGTTAGTACGTCATATGCTTCGTTGATCTGATTGGTTTATTTGGCCCGTCTATCACCAACATAGGCCAATCAGCTAACCATTATTTTCGCCCCTTCCCAAAATTACTTCAACGGAAGGTTTCCAGATGGATATGCAGAGCAAATCCATCTGACGGAGTCAGGTTACTGTTTTGTGGGCATCTGCCTTCTTGTTGTTGGCTGAACTTTTTCAACCGTTAACTGAAACATGATCAGTTTAAGTCTGTAATCCGACTTTATCATTGCCTACCTTAATTATTCCACTTCAGCATCTTTTCTGTGTTTTCTTTTCTTATGTTTTGTTCACTTTGAGTTATTTTGTCACTAAGAGGGCCTTTTAAATCAAATGTCCTCGCCTTAAGAGTGGCGACACAACCTGCCTGCTGATGTGAACCTGTGGGGAAACTTTAATTGGGCCAAAGTCTTTTTATTTACTCAGTCTTGATGAAAAATCGAAAACCATTTACTGTTTCAGGTGTTACTCTATCTAAATTTACCTTCCAGCAAGTCTCAAGATGACCAGCTTCCTAACTTTCCCTAAATCCTCCAACAGGTTATGGGTCAGGACAACAAATTAGTAATTATTGTCATGGAGACGGGTTGAAACATTCCTTCTATTTTCTTGTCCCAAAACTATCAGTTGTGCTGCTCCTGCACATTTATCATAAGAAGAAAATGGCAAATTAATTCTTTATTAATTCCAACATTAGAGAAATGTAATTAATTTGCTCCTGAGTTATTCAGTCTTGTGTAATTCACTTCTCTCAAACATTCCCATTGGATTAGGTAATGTCAATCAAACGGTGTTCTTTGCTTTCTTTCTCCGCAGCATCAGTATGACCGCCTGCTCCTCCATCTTTGCCTTGGGCATGATGCCGCTCTGTCTGTTCATCTACACCAGCGTCTGGACTTCCAGCGACGCTATAAAGATTCCTTTTGACAGTATTGGTAAACAAACAGATCTGTTGTCTTTATTCTTACATAGGAGCAGTGGCGGTTCTAGACCAAATGTACCAAGGGGCCGGGGGGGTGGCAGGGGGGCACAGAAAAGCATGAAATAAAAAACTAGGGACTCAAATGTATTAAGAGAACTGCATAAAAATTCTGAGTCTTAATAGGTCAATATACATTCAGAATTTACTTAATTTGACTTAATCTAAGTTAAAATTACAGTTTTCTATAAAATCTGAATTAGAACTCAAGAAAAACGCATAAATTCAGCCGTAAGAATTTGAGTAATCTTTTGTATTTGTTTAGAAAAAACATTTAGCAGACAAAAACTGGGATCCTATCTCAATAGCAGTGAAGCTATCACCTTATTGTTTTTAAATAATTGGTAAAACAGAATTAAAAAAGAAATAAAAAATGAAATGGATCCAAAGGACCTATCAGTAACCATGTCTTTTCCAGCACATATTATCATTAGAATGTCCTTTAGTACCGTATTTTCACGACCATAAGGCGCACCGGACTAAAAGGCGCACTCTCAGTTATGTGTCCCATTTCTGTATTTAACACACACATA